ATTCGGGCTCCTCTCAGCGAGCGCACTCCAACCCCATCTTCAAAAAAAAAATAAAAAAAATTCCTGGGATGTTTTTTGGCTCGTCTGGTTTTGCCGGATGGAACCCCCCCCGTTCGTCTGGCCCGGTCCGTCTGGGCCGGACGTCGGCTTAACCCAGCTTTTTTTATATATTTTAATTCTCTCTTTGTTTTCTTTCAATTTTGCAGATTTTATTTTATTTTTCCTTCGATGGCAAAGCGATCACAGTTGGTCAGGCACGTAAGTGGCATTTAGGAGGTTGTCGGTTCGAGCCCCACGACCGCCTGCGGTGGACTTAGTGCCAACCACCCAAAAGAGATGCCTTTCATGTTTCTAACAGTACTCGGATTGCTTACTCTTCCACATATCTGTCAAGGTGTAGAAATCCCAAAGGCACCGTGCGGTGACGAATCGTAGATGATGATTGCGTTCATACAGTGTTGTTCTCATTCAATCCGACACCAAGGATCGCAATGGCCAATTTTTTTTTTCCCCTTTTTTGTGCACGCAAGTGCCATTCAAGAGGTTGTGGGTTCGAGCCCCATGACCTCTGTGGCGCAGTGCCAACCACCTAAAAGAGATGCCTTTCACGTTTCTAACAATACTCTTGCAAAGTTTCCGTGAAGGTGTACAAATTACTACAAATCCCGAATTGTGTGGTAACCTGTCTCGACTCCTGGATTTGCAGGCGGTTGAGACGCAGGCACCGCGGGGTGATGAATTGGAGATCATGATTGTGTTCGTACAGTGTTGTTCTCATTCAACACGACACCAAAGATCGCCATTGCCTTTTTTTCTTTTCTTTTCTTTCTTTCTTTTGCACGTAAGGGTCACTCAGGAGGTTGTGAGTTCAAGCCCCACGACTGCCCTGCGGTGCACTTAGTGCGAGCCACTTAAAAGAGATGCCTTTCACGTTTGTAACAGTACTCGAATTTGCAATCAGACTCGCTTTCTTTCACACTTCACATACATGTAAACAGGTAGCACAGCAAACCGGCGACAAGCGCCCACTCAATGCTCAGAGATATGGTAACCCAGAACACAGTTCAGATACAAGCTCACTTCAGATGGCTATGGCGTGTCAACGCCTGTACAACTCCCTGTTCGTCACTGCGCCCTACTCTGCTGTTCACACACACTCAACTTAGGATCACCCTGGATATCCCACACGTGACACACTGTACACACACGCACACATACACTACACCATTTTTTCCAGCTTTGGCGGCTATGGCCGCTACTACCTCTACCGCTATGGCTAAACTCTCCTTCTCGCCCACTTCGTCTTCGGGCATACTGCAGACCACCTCGCACAAGTCGCTGTAGCAGCGCTTCCGCATGGCTTACACAGGAATGAATGAATGGCTGGGCGCTGCCTCTTGATTTATACTTCTGTAACTCGTTGGTCTGCCCCTTTCCCGTGCCCGTGGTGCACACAGTCCCATACAGTACTTGCTTGACTGGACTAGAACTGACTGGGACTGGTACCGCTGACTCAGCAAGGGTGGATGTTGCATACTGTAACGTGCAGACCAGAACAAGAACCGACCTTTCAATACAAAGTACAAGATAACAAAGCGGAAGACTTCGATACCAGTGATCCAAACAATCAATGTTGTAATGCAGCCCTGAACATACATCATCATCATCGTTACATGGTGTGAATGGGTCTGGCGCTTCACACAGGAAGGCAGCGCCAGCCCATACCATACACAGACGAAGGGGAAGGGGATAGACAAAGAGGAGGGGGAAGATGGGAATGTCGTCAACACCAAGTCTTCGGCACAAGCCCAAATAGTCCCTCGTCGAAATGTCTGAATCCCAAATGTCAAGTCTGGATCCAATGTCGTCAAGTCTCAAGTCACAACTCTGTCTCTCTCTGTCGTAGTATGAGAAGTCAGGTGGCGAGAGGGTGAGAGGAGAAGGTGGACTTAGAAGAGGAAGAAGAAGAACTCTCTCTCTCTCTGTATCCAGTACTAACCTGTGAAGTTGGCGCCTTGATGCAGGTACCACGAAGATGGAGCTGGAGCGATGGCGCCACAGGTAATGATCACTGGCCTCCGCCAGTCTCTCTCCCACTCTCCGATCTACCACCTACCAGCGCCCAGCGCTGAAGACTACAGCTACAGCTATGGCGCCCAGCGCCGAAGACTACAGCTAGCGTTAATACCACCTAGCGCTGAAGACTACTGCAGCGCTCCTCCTGAGTGCTGCGGCCGAAATCCTGAAGACTACCTCCTGCCTACTCAACTACCTACCTGTGAAGTGCCTAGGACAGTCCTATGTACTTCTCGGGTGTGCCTCCTGACTCGTGCGAGCAGTCCAGGAGGCTGCTCTTGCCAATGCTGAAGGCAGGCAGGGGCTGCAGCTGCAGC